TTTAGGTCTGCATTATTAACCACATATAAATGTGTGTTTTAAATGTGCTTAAGGATATTTCAAATTCATTTTACTTTTTTTTAATACCTGCTTGGAAATGTAATATTCTCATTATAGGAACTCAGAAATGTCAGAGGACTTAAAAGGACAAAAGAATTCTTACAGAGGTTCACGGTGCACTAAAGGATTGTTGCCACTGAAGCAGAGGAAAGAGCACTGGTGATTCTCGGGGCTGAGAGCCTTGGGTTCTCACCCTGTCTGGCCCACAGGCTAGTCTAGGGATTTAGCCAAATCGGTTTACTACCTCTTCTAAAGAATGAAGGTGGGAAGGTCTGAACTAAAGGATTTTTAAGTGTCTTTCCTGCTCTGATGAGAAATACAATTCTATTTTAGACATTTCCTCAGCACTTACATTTACAGTGTCCATGATTGCTGGTAAATACCTGTCATAGGTGGGAGTTTTTCCTATAGTTATTCTAAATAAAGCCAGCTTGAGTTCATGACTACTATATTTACGTGTTCATTAGTCCATCCTTCCTCCCTCTTCCCTCCCTCCCTCCTCCCTTCCTTCCTTCCTTCCTCCCTCCTTCCTTCCTCCCTCTTCCCTCCCTCCCTCCTCCCTTCCTTCCTTCCTTCTTCCCTCTTCCCTCCCTCCCTCCCTCCCTTCCTTCCTTCCTCCCTTCCTTCCTTCCTTCCTTCCTTCCTTCCTTCCTTCCTTCCTTCCTTCCTTCCATTAATTCCACAAATGAGTTGCCTGCCCTTCATCAGCTACTATGCTACTTACTGTGATAGAAGAGAATTGGGAAAATCTCTGCAATCACAAACTTCACAGTTTGTGAAGACCATACATAGACAAATATTTATATGGTCTTTTGGCAGACCATATAAATAGCCAAATAAAAATTTATTTCACTATCCCAGTTGTGAATAATATCCCTTCATTATTTAACGTTTATTTACTAAATGCCTCGATGGTCCAGGCAGTCTGTTAGTGTGCAGCCCTAATACACTGAGGCAGAACACCTTCTGTTAAGGGGCATCCACAGTAGTGGTAGAGGTGAGGGAACATAGGTTAACATATATCTCAGGAGAGCTATTCGTTAATGACCTAGGTGTGCAGATGCAGAGTTGGGGAAGTATTACTCAGGGAAGGGGTTAATAATCCTTAGCTCCAGCTGCCAGAGGTTTTGCATCTTACAAGAAGGAAATGCTTACTTTGCAAATAGTGGAGTTTGATGAATCAGCAAAATAGGAAAGAACAGTCAATAAGCCAATATCCATGGCATTGATGGAGATGTTGCCAGAGACACCCAGCCCACTGCTAAGAGTGATCATGGCGAGGCTAAAACAAATTGTCCAGAGAGCAGAGGTTAGAGGTTTGGAAAGGTAATGCAAACAGCTAAATCTTGGTGTTCAGAATTGATGGTCATTTAATCTAAACTTCTGCTTTGCAAATAGGGAAACTAAGGCCCAGGCAAGACAAATAACTTGTGTACCTACCCAGAGAATGTGTGAGTACAACCCATTTCTGGGGGACCATTTTAGAATTAAAGGTGAAGAAGAGGAAACCACTGTATTGACCATCAACGCCTGTCTGCCTAAGCTATGACCGTTACTGTTGCACTATTTCAATTTGTTCTTCCATCTGCTCTGTGAAGCTGAGACATCACTATTATTATAGTAATAGTGCATAGATGAGAAAGCTGAGACCAAAGAGGTGAAGCAGCTCTTGGTTCCTCACCCACTTCTCTAGCCACACAAATAGGAGGAATGCAAAAATTGAAAGCTGCTGGGTCTGCCTCCCTGGGCACTGTGGCCTTTTCATCTCACCTACTACCTGTTCTCTAGCCAGCCTTATGGGGGTCCATAGGGTGGCTCCTTCTCATTTGCAAAATACAGATTTGTAATGTAAAGAAGACAGTAATTGATGGTCCATCTGAGTCAAGGAAAACTTGTTTAGTAAGCACACAAAGAAGAGAGGGAATGTAGCAGTGCCTTTTAATTGAGTAAATTCCTCATTTTCACAAGTACTCCCAAAGAGAAGAGAGGGGAGAAAGAACTGTGCCCTTTCCTGGAGGATCACCGACAGGGGAGATAGGAACTAAAGGAGCTTTCTCCTTGCCCAGTGTAGCCTGACTTCCTGTCCCTTTGCTAGGAGTAACCATTTTACCTCTCCTGTTATGAATCATGAGGTCTGTGCCTTTTGGCAGACCATAAATCAGTTCTTGGAGTCTTGAGGACAAATCCCAGGACTTTTAATCTTTAATATTAGATGTGTTTAAAGTGGTGAATATTTCATGAAGGGGCTGTTGCATTTTAACACATAGTGAGTCTTCCCCTCCCCCATTGGTAAATTACTGCCATCTAGATGCAAGGTTCTCAGCCCTTACCTCCTTCAGGAGCCAGGCCAGTAGGTCATAGTTCTTACAGCACACCCTCTCAGTGAACCACCCCAGGCAGGCTGGTGGAGGGGAGGCTTACAAAGAAAAGGGTCTTGCCTCAAGCAGCCCCCTGCTGATTCACAGCATGCCCAAAGGAAAGGTAGGATTCTCTATTCTGTCTCCCCTTTTGATTTTCAACATATCCTTGAATATTTCAAACCCTATCCCTAACCCAATCTCTGACTCCATATACCCTCTTCCATTTCCTTTGACCAATATTTATGAAATCTAGGCTGTTTGCCAAACACTTGCTGGGTGCTGGCCACACAAAGGTTAAGATACTTTCCAATACATAAAATGAGTTATAGGTCTGTTTGTTTCTGTCACAATGCTTCATGTGAAGTCGAATGTATAACACTTGTAGTTCGTTGCTGAAAGTAGGTTATTGAATAAATACAAACATTCTGGAGCAAGTAGTTCTGGGGGTTAGTTTCAGAACTTGTTTGGCCCTAGTATCTTGTTTACATAGTGTTTTCTTTTAGTTACTCAATGTTGGGAAAATACTGATTCATAAAATGCACAGTTGCATGCGCTGGTGAGATGTCTTAGCAGGTAAAGGTGCTTGCCTCCAACCTGATGACCTGAGTTCAATACTCAAAACACCACATGGTAGAAAGAGAGACCCGATCATTACACATCGTCCTGTGACCTCCACATGCATACCATTGTATGCACGCATCCTCACACATGCACAATAAATAAATAAATGATTTTAAAAATATTTAATTCAAAATATATAGTTGCAAATAGCACAAGTTTGTTAGCATCATGAGAGTTTCAGCCTCTTCTTCAATTTAACAAGGATAACAGGAAGTTTTGTTTTTCCTGAGGCCAGCTTGAAATAAATTTACCTGGGACCAAGAGTTGATGTGATGATACTTTTCAGTGTCCTTAATGCTAAAGTGTGACTTCTGAGTGTCTTTCCTTTTTTAATTTTTAAAGAGACTGAAAAATGAAACTCTAAGAAAACTGAGATGACATTAACCTTCCATGTTGAATCATACATTTCCTGAGCATGTTTTGAAAAGTCTTGGGTCAGGTCAACCAGAATTGCTATAGGATAGAAGGGTTTCAGGTTCATCTATGTGTGTGTGTGTGTGTGTGTGTGTGTGTGTGTGTGTGTGTGTGAGAGAAACAGAATGAAAGAAACACTGAGAGAGAGAGAGGAGAGAGAGATAGACACAGAGAGAGATAATACCAGAAGATGGGAAAGAAGGCAATTAGACATCAGTAGCCTGGAAATTGACAGATGTAGCAATAGCTAATTACTCATTCAGCCCACATTGTTGAGTACTAGGACTAATCTGTTCTACATGCCAGGGCAGTTTATTCTTAATATTTCCCAAGATGTATTCTGTGGAGTGCTCATCCTATACGTTATTCCACAAATTTTTTTCCTCTCTTTCTTCTTGTGAGTAGTGCTATTAGAAACTAAAGCATCATGTATGAAAGGCAAGTACTTTACCACAGAGCTATGTTCTCTATTCTGGAAGTTTCTCAAAATAAAATCTGAGGAAAATCGTATACAGCATTGTCACAGAGAATCACTCGACTTGCTTTAAGGAATGGTATTGTATTTTCCAAATTATTTTTTCATATAAACTATTTTTGATAAAACATCTGTCAACATTCCACAAATACTCCTCTTTGGGGAAGAGTAACTAATTTACTAGAAAAAGAATAATCCCCACCTTAAGAAATAAAAATTTAGAACAGAAATGATTAACATTTAGAAGAAAGAAAAGAAACTTCCTGGAAACACTTGTAGAATTTTAACTTTGGAAATGTACTAGAACCCAAGACATGCCGACATGAGCTTGGCCAGTGGGAGGCTATTCTTAGACTTTGTGGAATAGTAGGAAACACTCGTGCAACCACACATGGACGTGGCCAGGAAATAAAACTGTCTTCTTGGGTAAATAGATGTGAGGCAGGAAAGAGATGGGAAGGAGGGAGTAGGAGGAGAGCAGGAGAAAGAGGAGAAGGGAGGGGCACAGCAAGGAAGAGGGGAGAGTGAAATTTTAAAATATTTTTAGAAAAAAACTAAGTTGTAGGTAAAAACCAATTTTCCAAATAAGTAAGTCAAAAGTGTCTTAAGGAATTGACATTTGATCTAGGGTTTCTGTATAGAAAGGTAGGGCTGGCCAGGTCCTTTGAAGAACATTTAATTTTCTGCTTGCACTTGTATAATGAATATATATAATCACAATTTAATTTTTGAAAATAGGTCCATGATTTGTATTGAGGTGGTTACTTCCCATCTTCCCCATCAAGTCATGGCCTCCTTCAACCACTGCATTACACCTTTGGCCTGTGTCTCTGGTATAGAGCTAAGAACGTGGTAGCATGTGACCAGGAATTATTCGATGAACATATGTGTAGTTGAATGAATGAACACGGCGTAAACTCTGTGCCACCCAGAGTTGTCAATGGATCCAGCACCCTTTCTTCTTAGGCCTTTTCTAAGACTTCTTCCTTTTCTAAGAAAGCAAGGGAACCAGGAAAACAGGCTGTGCATAGAAGCAATGTCCTACAACACTCTTGTTCTTTTGCTTACAGGAGAGTGCAGCTGTCACGAAGGCTATTCGCCTGACCCTGTTCACAGACACCTATGTGTACGCAATGACTGGGGACACAGTGAGGGGTGAGTGGCACAGACCTCAGGGTTGGGAAGTATGGGACTCATTCATGTACTTCCTGGTCTGAATTACTTCTTCTTTTATGTTAAAAGATACCAAAATCCACTTCACAGAAAGGGCTACCTCTTTGTATAACCCAAAGGAAAGTGAAGCCTGATTTCCTTACCAAATCACATTTCAGTTCTAGAGGTACATGATTGATGAATTTTCTAGAACATAAACACAGACAGTCTAGTGATCCATCCAAACCAGAAGTAATCAATAAAGTAGACTGAGGAGGAATCAGCTTTTTGTATATAAACTCATAAATGGACATGTGAACTTAATAAAAGTGTTGAGACCTTCTGTAAAGACATTCCTTTAAAATGTAAAAAGTCTTGTCCAATAATTACATCTGTGGAATTCAATTGTAAAGCTGCCTTTGAGCAGTGCCTATGTATGACTCCAGTTTGCTTCTGACTAATCCTGTCTCTTGCCTTCTTTTCTTTCCTTTGTTCTTCCCACAGCCCTTGGCCTTACACAACGCTGGAGAGGGGCTATGATCTGGTGACAGGAGAGCAAGCCCCTGAAAAGATTCTCAGGTGAGATAACAGTCTTGTTGGGGTATGATACTGGGGGTAGAGAGAAGTCCAACAGGAAGATGTGTTCATGAATTCTTAGAATATTGATCTTGTGTTCTGCTGAGACACATTGAACACAAAAGAAGTCTCATTGGCACTAGTGTACCATCATGGCCTGGATTTCTATGGGAATCTGATGCCCATTTGTCTGGCTTCTAGACATGCAGACTCAGGTCCTTGAACTAGAAGAGACATTACTGATTATCTAGTCTAAAGGCTAAAAACTATTCTGTAACCACAGACGCTCTTCCCACTGCCTCTACTACCTCGGAATCTTGTGTAAAACTTCAATATTTAAGCAGTTAAAAACACACAGCAAATTAAGTGGCAGACCTGGGAATCAGACGTTGGATTGAATTGATTGGGAGTCCGTGCTCTTAACCTCTGTGCCAGACTACTCCTGCTGACTTGGCAGTCACTTATGAACTCCTGCTGGGTATCAGAACCACAGGAAAAGGAGAGCTGAAATAGCCCCTGTCTTCGTGATGTCCACTTGTTACTCAGGGGGGACAAAATGAAACTAAAACACAAAACAATGCGTAAGCTGAAAAATATACAGACTTAAGAAATAATCATCCAAATATGAGTAAATCTGGCTGTCACTGCTTTGGGGAACATAGGGGATTCAATGGGGTAGGGAAATGAGAGAATGCCCTCAAGGGGATAGGAAGAGGGGGGTCCCCCTTTTCTATTCGCTCTCTGATTCCCGGGGAGTTCCCCAATGGAAACTCTTACATTGCAGGTCTACTTTCAGCTTGGGCCAAGGCCTCTGGCTTCCGGTCAGCAAAAGCTTTGTGGTTCCACCGGTGGAGCTGTCCATCAACCCCCTGGCCAGTTGCAAGACTGATGTGCTCGTCACGGAAGACCCTGCAGATGTCAGGTAGGGAAGTCATCTTCAGGACCCTGTATTAAGGAGTTCTTTAAGCTCTGAAATTCCTTCTGTTTCAGAATCCCAGATATTGTTGTGGAGGAGAGATTTTAGCAATGTAGATAGAGGCAGCTGCCAGGTGGATGTAAGGAATGTTCTCAAATCCATCTGATCTTAGCTCCTAGGTGACCTCCCATTGCTATACATCAGTGCCTTATACCCTGGTATCATTGCCCTCCTTCTGTCTTTTATAAAATGTAAGAGAGGCTGATATATCCTCATACTCACCAGGAGATTTGTTATGAATGAACTTACATAAAAATCATTGTTTAACAATATGTTGAAAGTCATGAACATTTCAATGATGGGATGTTTACTATTGTGAGGATGGTCTTTGTTTGGCCCATGATATCTAAGGTCCCAAAGTTTCATCTCTCCTCACATTTTACAGATTATAGCTAATGTCCTTATGGACTCATTCTTCTTTCTTCTAATTAGTAGCTTAAACATCATGTTGTTCCATTGTGTGTGGACCTCTCAGGGTCAAAGAAAATAACTTGCTTAGCTTTGTAATCCCTGGTTCCTAGTACATATTGGACATTTACTAAATGTTTATTGATTTAATTAAGTCAGGGGTCTTAGATCTGATCCTAGTACAAGTCTGAAGCTTTCTAGCGAAGAGTTGTTTCTCTGTCTCCTTTAAGATTAAAGAAACCCTAGAAATTTTGCTGTTACAATAAATGGATTCTCTTCTTAATTATAAAACTGGCTTGCACACAGATTGTTGATTTTTGAACTAAAATTAATATCTAACCCTGACAGCTACCTATGACCACTCTCCTACCACTCTGCAATTGTCACTGGGTCATTCTGAATGAAGGTGTTACCGATACATCTACAGTACTTTGTTATAAATACCTGAAAACAAAGTCTACTTATCTGTCATCTTTCACTTGGAAGGATGATCCTAACATGATTTTCCAGGCTATTAATATTTCTCAATAGTGGGTTTTTTTTAAATGATAGAATGTTGGAGCTAGAGAGACAGCTCAGTGGTCCAAAGCATTTGCTGCTTTTCCATAGGACCCATATTCAATTTCCAGAACCCACACTGTTCATAGCTACCTCTAACTTCAGCGCTTGAGGATCTGATGTCCCTCTAGAATCCAAGGACCTCTGCACTCACATGTGCATACACACACACACACACACACACACACACACACACACAATTAAAGATGAAAAAAATAATCTTTTACGATAATAGAGTGATAATGGAATAATGTTTAAAAAATAAAGCAATCAGGGCTGGAGAGCAAACTGGCTCAGCAGTTAAGAGCACTGACTGCTCTTGTAGAGGACCCGGGTTCTAGTCCCAGCACCCACATGGTAGCTATGAACTGTCCTTACCTCCGGTTGCAGGGGAATCCAAAGTCCTCTTCTGACCTCTGCAGCATTGCATGACATGTGTGCACGCACATTCATGTAGGCAGTATACTCATATACATTAAATAAATAATAAATAAATAATAAATGAAGCAATCATTACTAAGAACTAAAGAACTAAAATCATTTTACATAGACTTAAATTGATTCATCAAGGTTGCCATCACTTTCATTTTTTTATAGAATTGAAGTATATGGAATTTGAAGAAATCATGTAAGTCTTTGCATTACATATTTTAAAGTTAGAACAAGGAATGTGTGGTAGGAAAAAAAGTCTCTCAAATAGCCCTAATGGTTTTGGCTGAAATCTCCTGAAAGGCAGTCTCTGCTGGCTTTGCACAGTATTCTGTGCTGTTGACGTTGCATTTGTGAATTCAATGAAGGTACGATTGTCAGATGGGTTAATGATCTCTCACAGTTAGAACTGCAAAGGATCGAGTAAGAATGTCATCTCTACCATGTACGAGCAGCAGGATTTCAGCCAAGTTTAGCTCTCTAAGTTTCTGTTTCTTTTCCTTATAAAATGAGGATTACAGTGCCTTCCTGGTCAAGTGTAATCATAATAGCTCATATCCCCTGAGACTATCCTGTGTGCCAGACACCACATTGATGCAATTTCATTACATCTTGTATCATCCTTCCCAGTTATGCTATTATTTCTATTTTGTTGACCAAAAGTAAGCAAACAGACAAATAGAACTAAGGCCTGTATTGTGTTCTTACTACTAATTGATGAAGCCAAGCTTCTACCTCTGATCTGCAAGGATGGATAAGAGATTACAAGCATCATCATGTGAAAGGGTTTGTACTAACTTGATGAAGTTTTTCAAGCTGCACTAAAACGATGCTTGACATGACTTTGCTCGGGCATGCATATCATGGGTATTTAAAAAATTAATGAGTTCCAGTCAGGTGATATGTTAGAAATTTAAAACAATAGATCATAATTATAGATAGCCTCTATCAATGATATGTAGTCACAACAGAGTGATTAGAAGCATGATATCAGTAATCAGAGCCCACGGGAGACAGAAGTGAGCATTATAGTAAGGTTACAGGATTGTGTTTGGAGATGCATTACAACTTGAATCTGTGATAAATTCTTGGGAATGTATGGAGCATCACACTACCAGAGGTGGTGCAACTGGGACACACCATGGTGGCTAAATAGAAAACAACTAATATTAACAAAATTTGGTTAGTATAAGGAACAAATGGAGCTTTCTTATCGTTATCAAAGAATATAAATTAGTATGACCACTGTGTACACAAGCTGAACAGTATCTGTTAATGCTGGCTATACAGAGACTGAGTAATCCATTTACCTCTAGGAATACATGTAGCAGCAACATCTACACCTCAGATAATAACTACGAATGCTAATAGTAGCATTCATTAGTACTTCCAAAGAAGTGAAAAAAAGCTTACGAATGTTAATAACAAAGAGGTAGATAGTGGGCTGGAGAGGTAGCTCAGCCTTAAGAGCTCTGGCTGCTCTTGCAAAGGACTCGCTCTGAGCACCCACATGGCAGCTAAAAACTGTCCGTAACTCCAGTTCCAGGGGATCCGACACCCTCATCTCACTTCTGCAAGCATTGCCCGACACGGGTGCACTTACATACATGCAGGCAATACACTCATACCCAAAAATAAAAATAATAGTATTTAAAAGAGAAGTAGATAAATATATATATATATAATACTCATACAAAGAAATATTATTAATGAGGAAAATAAGTTAGTATGATTACCATACAATGCTTCATGGATGAATCTTACAGAGTATTGAATAACAGAATTGAGACACAAAAGAAAATGTATGTTTTATGATGATTTATACAATTGAATTTACTAGTTTGTGAAGCCTATCTTTGACAGTCCAAGAAAGGATGGCACTACTTTGGGTTAAAGAGGAGCAATGATGGAGAGGTGGAGTGGGGAGCTTGTGTGACACTGATGAGGTTTGGTACTCTCATCTTAGCTCTGCTTTGATAAGCAGTTTCCCTGAACATTCACAAGTGTACACAATTTTCTATAAGAACCTTACATTTTGGCTAAACATAAAGTTCACTGTTCAAAGTTACAAACTTTGGGAGCTGGCAAGAAGGCTCTGTCTGTGAAGATCCTTGCTGCCAAGCCTGATGATCTGAGTTGAATCCCCAGAACCTACACTGAGAAAGGAGAGAACCAGTTCCCACATGTTATCCTTTGACCTCTACAAACATCATAGCACAACTGTACCGACACATAAAAAATAATAATAATAATAATAGTAATAATATAATTTAAAAAATGAAAGTTAAAAATGTTGGAGCCAAGCTAAGCTACCCCCATAAAAATTTTCATTCCATGTGAGACTTTCATCATTGTTTCCCCTTGAGGACAATGGAGACAGGATTTTTTTGTTTCCCCCAGTGGAGTGGTGAAGACCGAATGAGTTAACCAGATAAAGTGCGGAACTTGACAATGGTTAGCCCTTTGGAGGTATTAATTATAATGCTTGATAAAGTAGCATGATGAAGTTTCTCTTCTCTTTTTCATTCCTTCTTTTCTCTTTGCTGAATGGTTACACCCAATTGGCAATGTGATTTTAAATCAGCAGTATCGTCATGTTAAGGGCTTGAACTGACGTACAAGATTTAGGGAAGATTTAAATGACTATGCACCATCTCCTATGGAATGCTAGGTCTGTGGGGTTTTTGTACATGGGCAAGCTTATGAAACAAATGAAGAACCACCTGAGGGGTAGTCAGAGAATGCTTTGAGGAATGGGAAGGAAAGAATAAGTTATTTTCAGAAAAGAGAATATTAGTAATTAGGTGTGAATTGTGGATAAGATTTGGCTGGAGAGAATCCAAGGTGGAAGGGAAGGCTTTCAAGTCAGAGGCATAGAAAGGCAAAAGAGAAGAATTCTCCCCTGGAGACTGCCTGTCCTCTAGCCAGTCCCCACAGGAAGCTGCTGGGAATGAGATTTTTAGCACTGGAACACTAATGATGCCAGCTACAAAGGTGGAGGAGCTAAACTTCATATGGATTCCTTTCAATTCTGAGAAAAAGCCACATCAGGTGCTCCTTGTGTGCCAGGCTCTGTGCCAAGTGCCCTAGGAACACAGACATGAATAAGATCCACCTCTGCTTTTGGGAGGCTACTGGCTTAGCAAGGAACAGGAAACAAGAGACTGACTTGAGAAATGAACTAAAAGTTAATTGTGGAGAATGAAGCAAAGCAAACCGCAGTTCTTGCTGCATACTGGGCCTTCACAGTTTCACCTGGAGCTGGTTCTTCTCATAGAGAAAGGTGAGACTTGCCATTATAGTTAGAATAACAATCATCCATAAAGCCCAGTGTTTGGAGATCCTTAGCGATTTTTTTTTCCTATGATCTCAATCAATGAAAATGAAATGGTGAAACACAGTTAATTCCTGCACAATGTTGAAAGAATAATGGAATATCCAAATGCAAGCGAACACTGCTCACTTGGTGATAGTTTCCCACTGAATTCTTTCTGAATAGAATTAAGAATCTCTCCTTGTTCTTTTGCCCTTGCAATTGCAAGCAGTGAGAA